AGCCAGGTGCTTCTGGGATTGGCCAGGAGCCAGGTGTGTCGGACTCAGAGGAGGATACGTCTTGGCTGGATCCACGCCAGCGTCGGAGGGACAGACGTGCGCAGCAGCTAAAACGTCGTGCCAGAGATTTCAGCTGAGTCACTGGGCCACACCCCACAGGCTATATAGGCAAGGGGTGTGCCGTTTGAAACTCTTGTGATGGACAATACTGAATCTTCTGTTGCAGCACTCCGGAATTCTCCTGGACTTGATTTGTATTATCAGTAAAGGTCTTGGCAGGCAGCCACGGAGTTGCTGCCAAGTGTTTATCTGTATTTGGCAGTGCTGAGCAGTCTTTTAGCCCTCGGCTGACTGGTTGGGGGGTGTGAGTCGGACGGGGGACAGAACAGCATAGCCCAGACCAAGCTTCCTCTCCTTTTCCTGGATTAGGTAGGTAGGATAGAGATAAGGGCCAGAGTTAATGGAGTTCATCTTCCTAAGCAGTGGTTGTGATGAACCACTTTCATCGTTTGTCGTTGGTTTTTCACATACCTGAGCACAACAATGGAAGAAGAATGAAATTTTCACAGTGGAGGAATGGATTATGAAAATGTCAGAATTTCCAGAAATAACAAAACTGACCTGTTCAAATAACAAAAAACTTTTTAGAAAGACTGGAAGCCTTATGTCATGGATGGCCAACATTTTGTCTTGTCTAGGCTGCATTGATTGAAGAGAGATTGTCTTGGGCTGCATATAAAATATATAATATAGTTGATGCATATAAATCACATAATAATGCTAAAGGTTTACAATCTTATGGGGCCACATTATTAACTGTCCAGGACTACATGCGGCTTGTGGGCAGCGGGTTGGACACATTTGCTTTATATGGACTTTTTGCTGAAAGAAAGCAATGAATTGATGATTTATGGATTTGAAGACTAAGAAAGATGAAGATTAATGCAGTAGTGAAGGGACTTGTAAAATACTCAAGGTGGAAGAGGAACAATAACAACGTAATTATCTGTTGAAAAGAAGGTCAGAAGTCTTCTACATGTTTCTTAACTTTGGCTTTCTTTTTCTTCTTCTGTTTGGTTTGTTATTATTATATGAAAATGTTCAATAAATACGATTCTCCACATATCCATATCTTCTTGCAGAAATCAAGAAAACAGTTGTCATCTGCTTTGCTGATAAGGAACTAAAGGGTAAGGCTTAATTAAGATTCTCAGAAGAAAACTCTCCTAGGAGAAGGAGGGGCTGCAGATAGACTGGTATACACATCTGCTGCCATGATAACATTAGAGGCAGAGTTAAGAAGGAAAAACATTTCCTTGAGAAGGAAAAACCTAGACATTAGGTTAGAAAAGGAGGTTAAAGGAAAAGGAGGCAGCTAAAATAGCTAAAGTGGAGTTCACTCTAGTAAGTGTAGAGGATAAATAATGGATTTTAAATAAGAGAAAAAGTGCTTAGTGGGCCCCAAAAGGATTGGATAGAACACTTAGTTTAGATTATAAGTGATCATTATAAGTGATCATGTCTATGAAACAGTGTTAATACCACTCTATAATGCCTTGGTAAGACCACACTTGAAATACTGCATCCAGTTTTGATCACCACAATGTAAAAAAGATGTTGCGACTCTAGAAAGAGTACAGAGAAGAGCAACAAAGATGATTAGGGGACTGGAGGCTAAAACATATAAAGAACGCTTGCTGGAATTGGGTATGTCTGGTTTAATGAAGAGAAGGACGAGGGGGGACATGATAGCAGTGTTTCAATATCTCAGTGGTTGCCATAAAGAAGAGGGAGTCAGGCTATTCTCCAAAGCACCTGAAGGCAGGACAAGAAGCAATGGATGGAAACTAATCAAGGAGAGAACCTAGAACTAAAGAGAAATTTCCTGACAATTAGAACAATTAATCAGTGAAACAACCTGTCTCCAGAAGTTGTGAATGTTCCAACACTGGAAGTTTTTAAGAATAGACTGGACAACCATTTGTCTGAAATGGTATAGTGTTTCCTGCCTGAGCAGGGGGTTGGACTAGAAGACTTCCAAGTCCCTTCCAACTCTGTTGTTGTTGTTGTTGTTGTTGTTGTTAAAATCTGGAGATATGCCAAATAGAAAAATCACAAATTACAAACCGGTGCAGATTTTATGGTGCTAGAAGGGAGATGGAAGATCTAATCAAAGTTTCACCTATCAGAAGGATACCATTGGATCCAGACCAAATGACACTTCATCTGACTGTGAAAGATAGAAATTGCCGCTGAGTTCAAGATGCCTTTTTAAAAACTCCAGATAAGTCTGATATTAGCAAATTAAAGAGGTACAAACATGCTGGTTCACACTTATTTTAAACTCATGTTTTATCCTACTAAAAGGTTTACGTTTAAAATAGATTTGCACTAAATGTTAGTGTGCATGGGGGCGGGGGGGAAATCTCCTACACTTTTACAACAAACTACTATGCTGGGAATGGGAAAATTATTTCCAAAAGAATCCACAACAACAGGGAAGTGAAATTGGTTGTTTTATTTGATGAAGCTTGACTGAATTAGCTTCTCAATATCTCTGATAGGTGAATAACATCACAAAAAGCAGACATGGAAAGCTGTGTGCTTTATCTTCCAAATTCTTAAAACTGGTAGCGTTACTATTCAAACCCAGAAGGAAACTGATACAAGATATATTTATTCCCCTTAAAGAAAGGGTCAAGATCTGCATAAGAGAGGTCAGTCTCCTTGTTAGCTCTGCGACTCTGTCAATATTTCATCCTGTGATAGAGCACATTTCACTCACTTGCTCATGATGGGATGGCTCCATAAGCTCTCTTGAAGTTCCATGTATTGTTCTGGGTATCTGGTTTAATCCCGACCGCAACAAAGTGTACTTTACTTGGAGAACACAACAAAATCATTAATAGCTACTTGAGAGATGGAACTCATTAAAACCATATAGGCACCAATGGGGGAAATTATGTTTTTGCTGGTTATCTTTTTAGGGAACAAAATTAACTACATCTTATTTTTTAATGCATGTTCATGTGTTCATTTCCATTAAGAAATCTTATTAACATTTCTTTCCCAAGAATACATTTTAAGGAACCTGCATTGTTCACATAGCAAATTATGTTTAAATTATTACTGGGGTTCTTTTTCCCTGTACCCCATTTATAATTAATACCACTGATATCAGCCATACTTTTAACCACCAAAATAGCCTATAAATGAGCAAAACAAACTTGGAAAGTTATTTTATAATCTAGAGAAAAGATCAATATTGGTAAGTAGTAAAAGGGAGAGAGTTCTGTTTACATGTATAAAACCTCAATTTTCACGTCAGTTGTTACAGGACCAAAAATAATGAGGGAATAGTGAGTAGAGTAGAAAAAAAATAGCTTGGGCAAAATATATATTGGAAATGGATCAACAATCCAAGATTATTTAGCAGACACTATCCAAGATTGTTTAGAAGAAAATAACAGTCTTCCAGCAGAATAGAAAGGAATTAAAAGAAAAAGCAGAGGTAGAAAAGAACAACTTTTGATTGATAAAATAGGATTGGAAGATTACAAAAGCCAATAAAATGATTTACATATGGTCTGGATTGATTATAAAAAGATGTTTGATTCATTTTCACATAATTGGATCATCAAATGTTTGAAAACAACTGGGCTCAGAAAAAACATCAGAATGTTTATAGAAAAATAAGAATTGGTGGTTGGAAATGAAAAATATGAGTTTGTTAACATTAGAAGAGGCATCTTCCAGGGTGACTCATTATCACTCTTATTATTTGTCATTGTTATTATCCAATTTTCAGTAATATTGAAGGAAACAAATCTTGGCTCTTAAATAGTAAAAAAAAATACTAATAAATTCTCACATTGCTTTATATAAATGATCTGAAGTTGAAATCCAGTCATTGACAAATATGGTAAGAATTTGGTTCATAACACACCAAATTTATTTGTGGTTGAAAAGAAAGTGTGGATAACTGATATGATAATACCATGGGATAATAGAAGACAAAGAATCAGAGAAGATCCCAAAATATCAAGATCTGAAAATCAAAGTTGAAAGATAATGGCATAAACCAATTGTAGTGGTCCCAATAGTTATTTGCTCACTGGATGTCATACCAAAAATTTTGGATGGCACTTAGAAAATCTGTGCATTGACAAAAATTTCCATCTATCAATTACAAAGGTCATATTGCTGGGATGCTCACATATGCTACACTGATACAGTATGACATCCTAAGCTCTTGGGAAGCACTCAGTGGTGGGATTCAAATATGTGAACAACCGGTTCTCTGTGTGGATGCCGCTTCCGGAAGTCCATTCTGGGCCTGGGCAATAAAAAATTAGCTACCGGTTCTGCTGAAGTGGTGCAAACCGGCTGAATCCCACCACTGGAAGCACTTGATGAGTATGAAAGCTAACACAAGCTAAAGAACTGGCAGCTGTGATTTCACATGGATGTGTATATAAAAATAGTGCAAAAAAAAAAAAGCAACACCAAATGTTTTAGCTGTGAATATTCAATTTAGGAATTTGAAACAATAGATTATAAAAGATCATTTAAATTCTGAAACTAAAAACATTTAAAAATGCAGTGAAGCAATAATATTTAATTTAAAAATTGAGAAACATGAGGTTGAAAACATTTCCCTTTTATTGAAAAGACTTGATATTTTCTCACTTACAGACTATCAGTGAGGTTTGCAACAGTAAGTAATTTGACAGAAAACAAATAACATATTTCTTTCAAATTCTCTTTGGAAATATTTTGCTATAGGGCTTCAAATTTGCATATCAATCCAGCTATTCAACAATTATTCTTTCCATGTTTAGAAGTATCACATAAATAATTACAATCTGTAGTAAATGCAGTGTCTTCATAATAAAACATTTTCTATATAGGATGTCACTTGGAGATGGAAAATGAAATAATTTTTGAAAGGAAAACATTTGTAGTGCTGATAAAGTATGTACAAAGTCAAAATGCAAATGAAGACATAAAGATATAAATAAAAAGTAAAATATTCTTGTCCTTGGCATTCTTTTTTGTTGCTTGAATAAGTGCCAACATTTTAACATATAGCAGTCATTAAACATAATTGTGAAATAAAAGAATATGTCTTGATAATCTAAATAACTTCCTATTGTATAACCATTTCCTGATAAGTTAGGGCAAGACATCACTGGATAAAGTTCCAACTATTTCTTAATTTCAATAACCCTATAGGTTAAAAGTCTATAGGACTGAAGCCTAAATTACATTCTAAACAATATCTTTTTCATATCAGTGCTCTTCCTTCAGGAAATCATAAAACCCCTTTTGTGCAGTTCTATCAATTGTGGAGACATTCACAACCAGTTATGACATCCACAGTCTACACAACTTTTTGCTCTTCTCCTTTTCATTTTATAAAGTTGTCAGTATGGTGTGATGCATATTTTTGTATAAAGCTATAAATCCAGACTACCTACACTCATGGAGTGGCACAGAAGTAGGCTATCATTTTGGCATGCTGAACATTGTTACAAATGGCTGCTATACAGACTTCTCTATTAAACAAATGCTTGTCATAGTCAGTACAGCTAGTCATAAAATGCATCTCATTTGTGATCATCTCTAGTTTGCCTCTCCCCCTCCCCTCTCCCCCTCCCCCTTCATTCTCTTTATTTTTTTCTGGAAAGGTGAGTGTATTTCCAAATAGGGTGTTAGGCTGAAGCTACCTAGCATTTTTTATTTTCTAAGACTATCTATTGGATCCATATATTGATACTTGGTGCTTGTAACATGTCAATAGTTTCTTCATTATCCTTTTTTAAATTAAAGGTCCTATTTAAAAAAAAAAGCCATCTGCAGCCTAGAATCGAGAAGGTGCAAAGGAAGAGTCCGTGAGCAAAATATTGTTTACTCTGCTATAGATTATAACAAAGATTATTCTCTGCTTTCTTGACATTTATAGATGGGCCTATATCGAGACACTACCAAAGATTAGAGGGAATGAGAGAGATGGGTTCTTCTATGGACAACTGAGTCATACCCTTAACCTTCCTTGGTGTGGTTAAGGAATGAGAGTTTGAAACTCATGACTGCGGACTGAGAATAGGGGAGAACATTGATCAGAAATGTGTAGAAAATGTGCAGGTCTCTCAGTCTTATTGGCCAAATACAGTATGTATCTCACAATTGTAAGAAAACTGGGAAAAGTGTTAAGTCTGACCGGTGCTCTATTTATGTGCAGGTAACTTTTCCTCATTGGAAGAAACCCATCATCTTATTCTCTAAATACAACCAATGCTGTACTGTGTTCTTAAATATAAATCTATTTTTGGTCATTGTAAAACACCACTGACTATTTTACAGCTAAGACGTCTCTAAAGTACTTTCTCCAGTTTGTAGAAAACAATTTGTGTTAGCTTTTCTGTTTTCTTGGCTTTACCTCTCAAAATGGAAGGTTAAACATTTTTCTTTGTTTACTATGTTTCTTCTTCCCATCTGTGTTGCACTCATTGCTCTGAAACACCTTTTTAAAAATTTCCTCAGCATTCCTTCTGCTAATTCATTCACAATGGTGGCATATCTCTTTATTTTGCCATTCTTGTGTTTACCTTTTCCTTTTGCACCATTAAAATATTTCATTCCCTTCTTGTTTAAAACAAGACCCTGCCTGTGATATTTCTAATCAGGCCTTTTTGATCTTACTTTCATAATTCACCTCTACTGACTTTGCATACACATGAATCTATCTGGATGTCTTTTAAAAAAACAATTTTATACAAAGCATTACTTCTTTCTTTGCTTTGAGATAGCCTTATTTTCAGTGCTTATAACTCGGTATATTATTTTGACAAACTGCTCTTAGAGATATTGTCCTTGTTATCTAAGGACAATTAACTAAGGAATACAAGAATCATTTAGCCAGTGTGCTTCCCCCCCTTACTCTATTCATGATATAAAAAAAAGAGATGTCATGGCCACATCTAGTACTATCAGTTCAAACTCCCAGTTCTCTGAATATATCCACAAAATGGAAAAGAAATATGCTAGCCCAGGAGCTGGTATAATTTCCATTCCCAATAAGAAAGGCAAATAAATTAAGGGAGTGAAAAACAGAATCAACAAAAACAGAGACAAAAAATATAAGTCCTTCTCTCTTTTCCATTGTCCTTATCAATAAGATATAGGAAGTGTCCCTACTATCTGTTCTTTATACTGTGTTGCTATAGGGTTATTTTGTCTGCTATATCATGAAATGTTGTATTTCTCATCCCTATCTGCTGATAGAAGAAATACATGCACAACAGCACAATGGTGGCTCTGCTTTTGTGATGAAGACTTCATCTATTAACATCAAATTTTTATTTGGATGCCAAGTAAACAAACTTTCTCAGTCATGAGAAATCTTTTCATTATCAGGGACTAGAACATGAAAAGAATTTTAGCTTAGGATTTTAAGTGAATTTGTGGCAAAGTATACAATGAACCTATGCAACATAGAAAGACCACAGTAATTACTGTTTGATTCTTGGTATTAATTAAAATACCAAGTTAAATAACAATATCATGAATCATTGCCCTGTCAAATAATCAAACTGAGCTGTACCTACCATGATACCCTTTGGCCATTTTGTTTTGCAAATCAACAGTTAAAACATGGATAAAAACATGTAATTCAAATAATGGCAGAATTTTTGATTAATCTGGTGTATGGATGGATGCAATATGAAACTTGTGTTTTAAGCAAATGATTAATGTTTCTGGAATCATTGACTATTATGTGAGATTTTATATTTTGAATTTTTCTGAGTCAGCTGAATATCCAAAGGGAAATGTCTTCTCAAATATGCCATTGCACTTGAACCAGTTATAGGGAATTGGGATATGCTTCAATAAATCTCAGTTAAACAGCTTTTAATAATCTAAATAAGGTTTACCTACAATTAGCAATATTTCAATAAAACTCTAAAGAAACCGTGCATGATTTGACTAAAATCACCTATTTAAATCAGCAGGTCTTTGGAAAGCCACTAAAACTACGCTACAAATAGGAAAATAAATGAAAAGTGAACAGAACCTTAAGGTGTCTGTTTTGGGAAGATCAGAGGTAGATATGAACCATCTAAAAGAGGCAGATCTCAAAGTTACATTCTGAAACTTCTACACTTCTGCACTCATTGTGGATCATAATTCTTGATATGGTTGAGTTGGTGACATTAATGCTATGCCAACTCTACAACTCTACCATACAATCAAGCACAGTTAAACGTTTTCATGTCACTTATGAGGTATCATCATTTATAAAAAGTTTGGGTGCTTTCATCAATCATGATACAATATTAACAAGGTCAATCATCTTTGAATCAGTGCATATACCTTGTGACATATCAAAAACATATTTCATAAAGACTATAGACTAGTCTTTAATTCTCTGCTCTGTTGACGCACCTCTTCATTTTGCTTATCCATTGACAAGTTATATCAGAGGAAGCAGCAGGATAAGCCTGTACTTCCAAAGTACATTCTTTGAGTAGTACAATCTTTTATTTTAATCAAAATGATCCTAAATCACTTGTCTGTTATTTAGCCTTCAGTCTAATACAGAATGAACCTTACCATTTCCACAGCTGGTAGTAATCAAGTATCCCATTTATCTGTATTTGCTTTTCTCCCAATAAATTACTTTCACAATGGGAGAACTATATTAGATCAGTTGAAAATACAGTAATGGAAATTGTCTAGGTGGCATTAAATTCCAGTCCTATTTTAATATGACCAAGATATGAAAAGATAAAACATGAAAAGAGAAAGACAGAGAGGGAAAATCAAACATTGTCATGAATTGCTTCAACCTCTTTAGGCACAGTTACCTAAATCCTGTACCATCTCTTCAAAATAAATATCAGCATTTCAACAATAGTTTCTCTTTAGAAACTTATGAAATTGATTCAGGTTAAAGACTTCAGATGTAATTTTTGTGTAAAGAGTTGTCTTTACAAAATTTGTGTAAAAACAATATATAATTTGTTCAGTTTGACATTGCAAACAAGTATAAAATTATATACACAAAATACATTTAATAGAAATTAGGAACAACTACTTACAAAGATACAGTATTATTTACAAAGCAAAACCTATTTTAATAGGCAGCAAGAATAACACCTTTAGACATTTTCATTGGGAGCATTATATTTTTCCTTTTGATGTTGAGATACCAGTCCATTATTTCAAATAGGAAGTAAAGAGGAATTGATAGTTGATATTCTCAATTCAAATATCTCTCTAATATGCAAATAGCAAACATTTTATTGCTTGCTTTTACAAGAACAAATCATATGTAGAACATATGTTTAATTATTAGAGTTTGATTACTTAAAGGTTTAGCATGGACTGACTCGTGATTTCATTTAGCACTATTGTGGACCACAAACTATACTGCAAATGACTAATTCCGTTTCAACATTTTCCAAAACTGATACCATGGAAAATGTTTTCCATACTAGCTAGGTATAAAACAGAAACTAGAAACAGACCTTGACAGAACATGTGAGCGTACATACATATATACCTACGCCTATACCTGCACACAGAACTTACTGTCAAGTACTTTTTCAGCACCATGCTTTCATTCAGGGAAGTAGTATGGATACCCTTCATCACATAATGCCATCAAATTGTCTCTGGTGCTCTAACAACAAAGAAACAACTTTTACAGGTGCATGTGATCAGTCAGATCATACTTCCATTGTCACAGGTGCCACGTGGACTTCCAGATGACCCCCTGAAGTGGGTTGCAAAGTGCAAAACTGTTGCAATGTCACAGGTTGCTGGACATTATTGTTTCCGTGCCTTCAATTTGGGATCAGAAGGTTTTTCTGGAGTTGCAGAATATCGAGGTGTGTCACCATTAAGTCCATTTACAAAGACACATTGATAGTAGCGAACAGCAGCTGAAAAGAGGTAAATAAAAAGAATAATCGGAGTATACAGTATAGCTGTAAAGTTAAACTAATCTAGCAAAGCATAAATCAACTTTCCCTAGCCTGTTGTCAAAATATGTGGCCATCAAGCCAACTCCTTGATAGCTAAAAATTCCAGGAATTGAAGTCAAACACATCCAGAGACTGATATAGCTTATCACTGTCCAAAATCACTTTGTTCCCTGGCTAGGCTTGGCATCAAAAGTTTTAATAGTTAAATAAATGGCAAGCAATGTTTTATCCTGCATTTGTTTTTTGACAAATGGAAAAAGACTTTTTTTTACCTTTCCAACCAAATCTGAGATTGAATGGCAAACATTATTCCATGTTATTGGCTGACACAAAATACTGTGAGCAGAAATGTCAGTGACATTTCTCTTTCTTCATTGCAGTTATTTCAGAATATACCCTTGTGTGAGGAGAAGAATTACAAATAGGCTTCCAGATATTAGTAAATAGAAAATTAGAAGTGTTTTAATCAAATACACAATGGAAATGCAATATATATGGACCCAAGGTAGAGTTTAGGCCCATTTGTATTCATTATCATATGACTTTCCTATACAAGCTGTCTGAAATAATTGGATGGAGCTTTGGCGCTTTAAATGTGTTTTCTCTCTCAAACAGTGCTGGCCAATCTATGGCCTGTGGGCTCCATGTGGACCCTGATATCCCGGTTGCAACTTCTAAAGAATCTGAGCATACGTTGCAGAAATTAAAGGATCCCAAGATCCCATTAATGAAATTTGATGGCATAATTAGAAATACTAGTTTTTATTCACAACACCAAAAGTGAAAGAGAGAGAGACAGAGAGAAACAGAGAGACAAAGAGAGACAGAGAGAGACATACAGCGAGAGAGAGAGAGAGAGAGAGAGAGAGAGAGAGAGAGAGAGAGAGAGAGAGAGAGAGAGAGAGAGAGAGAGAGAGAGAGAGAGAGAGAGAGAGAGAGAGAGAGAGAGAGAGAGAGAGAGAGAGAGAGATGTAGGATTTTTATTTTGACTTTTACAAATATGGAATGGCAAAAAAGAAAAAAAAATTCAGTCAAGCCATCTAATGCGGTTGTGTCACCAGCTATCACTGTGCTCATGCCTCATAAAACAACAACAGCAACAGCAAATAACAATAACAATGTTTTGTCAGACTGGGAGAAATTGTTAGCGTTTGCTCAATATAGTATGAGTTGCAATGATACAAAGTAGAATGTTCAGTGATGGCTGCCTAGTTCCATGTCTTCCCTGCATGTGGCAATGATCTACCCTGTCAGCCTCTATGGCAGTGGTTCTCAACCTGTGGGTCAGGACCCCATTTGGGGTCGATCGACCATTTCATGGGGGTTGCCAAGCAAGGCTGTCTGCCATTTTTTTTGTCCACCATTTTTTTTGTCCATTTTTTTCCCCTTTTCCGGTGGGTGCCTTACCTCCCTTGGGCTGGGCCAGCTGGTGGTCGGCCTGCTTCGTCTCTGCCGCTTGCCAGCTACGCCTCGGCCGGCACAGGGGGCGGAACCACGCATGCGCGGCGCTCCCGGGCAGGGAAAGTCCTCGACTTATGACCGGTTGGGTAGTCCTCGACTTACGACCGGTTTAGTCCTCGACTTACGACCAGTTTAGTCCTCGACTTATGACCGCTTTAGTCCTCGACTTACGACCGGTTGGGGTCGCGGCATTAAAAAGGTTGAGAACCACTGCTCTATGGAAATTCCCTCTACCCTGATTTCCCTGATTTATTTATTTTACTTATTTGTTAAATTTATTTGCTGCCCATCTCGCCCTGGGGTTACTCTGGGCAGCTTACAATACTAAAAATGGGGGGAGGGGAGATAAAAAAATGTAAACATAACAATAGTAAAGCAATGAAACAATAAAAATAAATTATGAAAGTACAACAATGTGAATTAAAAGATGGGAGGGAGGAGACGCAGGAAGCACAGGGGGGAGGTGGGGTCAACTAATTAGTTCAGTAGTCATCTCCAATATGGTACTCCCCCACTGGGTCCTCAGGCCAACTGGCAAAGCCAGGTCTTCATTATTTCTTATATAATTTGCACGGGGAGACATACTCAAATGTATGTGCATGTCTGCGTATATCTGCAGACATGATGACCCCGTACAACAGAGCTTCAGTTATGGGGAGTAATAAGCAGGTATATTTTTGTTCAGTTTTCCATACAAGACAAAATGAAACTCAGAAAGAGTGTGGTAAGAGTTGCTCAAATGCAAATCTTATTAATGCAGCTCTGAGTCTTTATTAAAGCAATTAAATGCTTTCCCTCTAAAAGGGACTCTTTTCCTGGTGCACATTTTTGATGCTCGTCATCATATTTGATGTGTCAAATAGCTTGCAGCTGCCTACGAAAGACTGTTAAATTCAAAGCCCCGAAACTTGACCTGAATATAAAATTTGGCTAATTAGAGATATCTTGGTGCAATTCCATCTTGAGCCAAATATGCAATGAGTTATGCTTGTGGGTCAGGAGCAGGTCACTCAGCAGACATCTTTCATTAAAGCAAAGTACTTTGGCACCAAAGGCAAAGCAGATGGAGAGTTCATTAACACACTGTGTCACAAAACAACATCACAGTTCACTTTAATTAACTGGTCCACTGAGAACTGGATCATTTTAGTTTGGTTTTTTAAAAAAAAAAAAAAAATCAGAAATAACCAGGCACTATGTGGCAGTGTAAAGAGTAACAAATATCTGATGTTATGCTTGTTATAAGCCTTTGGCAACTTATAGTGTCATTTGTACATCAATCTTAATGTTCATTTGGATTGCAAGAGACTAAATAGCTAGCCCTCTAGAAACTACTTTTTTCTTAAATTGTTTCCTCAAAGTGTTTGCTCTAGAAAAACAGGGGAGGAAAGCAAAAAAATAAAAAGAACACCACCCTCAATTTACATCCTATGTCCAATCTATGATGAAGTTATCTAGCTAGGCCAAAGGGACATGTTCTTCATGACAGGGGTCTCCAGCCCCCCAGTTCATGGACCGGCATCGGGCCATGGCATGCCAGAAAACGGTCCGTGCAAACAAGCAAAGCCCCATCTGCAGGATGCAGGCAGTACATGAAACCACGCCCCTTCCAGTCCCCGGAAAAACCTCTCTCCACGGAACCGGTCCCTGGTACCCAAAAGGTTGGGGACCTCTGCTTTATGACATTTTTTTTATTCCTTCAATCTTTACATGGTTTGCAGTATGGAGGAGATCACTTAAAAGAAAGAAGTGGTTTCTTGAAGTATGAAGTCTAAAGGGATTGGCAGCCTTCAGTGAAGAAGAGAAGGAGGAAGAGCTTCATTAGTGTCATAGGCAGCCAGAGAGAGAAAAGGAAGCCTGTCCTGAGATGGATAGGCCAAGGGTACAAGTGTCCAAAATAACAGACAGAAGTAAAATATGCTACATGTTTAGTGCCCTAATAATGCTCAAATCCCTTTGATCCATTCAAATCCATGCTAGGATTTCCTTAAAAAAAACACAAAGAAGATACTCACTACAATCCCACCTGTTCTGTCCCCGTTCCGACCCACACACCCAAACAGCCAGCCGAGGGTTAAGGACTTCTCCAGACACCACTTCACCGATAAGAAACTTGGCAGCAGCTCCGTAGCTGCCTGCCAAGACCTTTTACTCCAAGCACACAGAAACAAAAACAATACACACAGTTTAAAGCCACAGCAAACTACTTCGCCAGAGATTCAGCTTTTGTCCGTCACAGAGGTCCAAATGGCCACCACCACCCTTTTATAGCCTGTGGGGTGTGGTCCAGTGACTCAGCTTAATCTCTGGCATGTCTCTTTTTCTGCTGCGCACGCTTGTCGCTCCTACGCTGGTGTGGATCCAGCCACAACTTCTCTTCCTCATTATCCGACACACCTGGCTCCTGGCCCATCTCAGAAACACCTGGCTCCTGGTCAATCTCTTCTCCGTTGGGAGACACCTGAGGCATTGCCAAAGAGGAGGGTCCTGGAGAGGGAGGCCTGGCCATCTCCTCTCCTTCATGTTCGGAGCCTTCTTCCTCCCATAAGAGGGGCTCACAAGACGGAGCCACAACACCACACCGAAGTTTGCATGAAGTTTGAAAAATATACTGTATGTCCATAATAGATTTGTCATTAAAAGAAATAATATTGTGACAATGAATTTCTCCATAAGCAGTACTCCATATGATATAGTGGTATAAATCTGCATGTGTGTCTTAACCAAGTTACTATTTATACCATTATCTCATATAATTAAAAATGAGACTTCTTACTCATTTTCTGTTGCATTGCATTGGTTGGCAGGAATTTCTCCAGGAATGTTTGCCAGTGCTATCAATGTCACCAGTAAAACATACCTTGTACACATTATTTTGGTCTACAACAATTACTGGAATAAGAGAAAGCACATGGCTGCTGATCAGTACGGTTATTCAATCATTCAGTCTTTTCCAATTCTTCATGACCCAATGGACATCATTTTGCCAGGATTGTCTGCCAGTAATTGCTTCTTGACATTTCTATTCTGACAGCATCAAGTATGTTTTGTTTTGACATTCCAGGTACAAATAGTATACATATTTTTGCAGTACTAAATTTCCCTTTTGACTCTGGAGACATAACAGCTGGATATACTTTTAGCTCTACTCCAGCCTTATCATGGTCACCATCAATACTCTGTGACATAAATTTTTTGGGGACAACTTCTTTTTCCAAAAGATTGAATATTCTTTTCTGGCAAAATTCTTTTTCCAATACATTGTCTTTAATCTAATTCAACATTTATGACCTGCCTATCAATAGATGGCCCCGCTAGAGGTGTACATAGCCAACAGTATAGTTCATAGTCTTGTCTGGGATGCACAAGGTTTTTTTTAACCACTATAAGTTAATTAGCATATATAAGTGTTAATTAGTATAATCAAATTATCATTAATAGACAACAAAATGGAGTAAAAGTATTAATTATGATCATTTACTAAAAATAATTGAACAAGTCCAACAGTTCCTATGTTAACTAAATCTGATTTAGCACTGTCAGTATGTTCATTAATGCTTGGTCCCTAGATTTCTGTATTGGATAAAATCCAGTTTTTCTTTATTCAGTTGCTAATTCCTCCCTCTAGGTGTTTATAACCAGTAATCTTACTTGTAATCAAGACAATGCAACATAAAGTCCACAATATATCACAGATATCCTCTTATACTGACATCTCTAATAGAAACCAATGGGATGTAATTGAAGCCCAAACATCCTAGGATATTATGCTGGAGGGTATTTTGCTTAGCTTTAGTTCATGGGTGAAACATTAATGCTACAGAGCAGCCCTCTCACTCTGAGGTTAATCAGAATGTGGTTATAGAAAGCCATTTGTGTTCTCTGGATGATAGCAAACAACCCTGAGGGTTCTCACACAGCCAAATACCAGATTTGGCTACCAAAACATGAAACAGATGGAAATTATATTTCCCACCCAAGATAATTGGTTTTAGAATGGGTGGAAGAAACAGATGCAAAAAAATGTGAACATTAAACTTTATAAACAGAGCTTGCATTTGATAAATGCAAGATGCCCTCACTGTTTCATAATGGGCCCTTAGTTTTTCTACAATTGAACTACCTTATCAGAAATTCTGGGATCCTCAATTCCTGTTTAATTAGATCCAGTTGAGCATGTTAGGGAAAGGCTGACAACAATGGTAGGTATTTCGTGCAGGAGAAAGGGTCCCTCATTTTATGCATTCACATGAACATCATATTCAGTGAATACACAAGTGGTGCATCACATCAAATGGTCAACACAGCAGCTTGCATATGTGAATCAGACCTTAAAGGACTTCCCCAAAACCATTAATTGGATATAAACAAAGCTTAGAACAGGGGTATCAAACTGCCAGCCCGTGGGCCAGATGCATCATAGCAAAACCGCGCCCATTGCATTGCCGGCAATGGCAAAACAGTCGCAATACATCGCAACATATCATGTGACGTTACGAGTTTGATACCCCTGGCTTAGAAGCAATAGAATTCTTTGCCTTTTATTTCTTTTATGGCTCATTAATACTCTGGTTCAGATAGGAGATATTCCCTAAAAAGAAACTTTCTCAGTGAAGACCTTTTTCCTCTCACTGGTGCAATCAACTTACAAGATCAAGATAATAATTCACATCAGAAGCAAAACACAACAAAACAACCCTCCTCTCAGCAGTATTGTTCATGCAGGGGACATTTGTATGGGGAAGAAGTACCGTCAGCCACTGAACCTACTTATGTGGTTTGTCCATCCGAATTAAGTAATATCCTGTCTTTATTATTTTTACAAATAACTCAAGACGGTGAACATATGCAACACATCTTTCTCTTCCTATTAAGATGGGAACATGCCATTTGATTCACATTCACTGATAAAAATAAGAGTTTTAAATCCCTTAAAAATAATGCATCAACATAGTCAGTCATTAGCGTGACCAGTAGACAGATTCTGTTCAGCTAATCTGAACTTTTCTTGTGTTTATGCATATCCATTTTTAAGAGTTGCAAAACATTGTTTTATTGATGCCAATGCAGTTCTAAGGAAGCCATCTTTCTTGAAAGAAGATGATAAAGTCCAGGCTAATAATTATTACAAGAATGTAAAGCAAGTAAAGTATTTAGTCTTCCATTTAGTAGAATTATAGCTTAGAATTTTAAAAATAGGTTCATGTGGGCTTTTGGCCTCTCATGAGTACAATTTACATTTGCAAAAAATCAGTGGAAGTTGAAATTCTAACCTGCACTGAATGTGAATTACTGAATTACAAATTTATTTTACTGACTTGAGTCTTATTCTTGGTATTAAAGAATCATTGTATTACAACCATAATAATGTAAATCCTTCCCATCCTAAACTTCAAAAACAAAATGTAGGAGGTGGAGATGTGAAGATTTGTGCCAAGGCCATAATCTATGACACAATTACTAGAAGGGGAAGGCGTGAATAAGTGTGTTTTTGTGGAATTACATTTTTATTACAACCAAACAGAACAGCAGAATTCAAGACATTACTCTAATAATTACACAGTTGTTGGGAAAAGACTGATATATTGTAAATGACGTATAGAGAAATCATTTTTTTGGAACTATCTCCTCTTGTACTTGTGCAGGTAGCAACACAAAATGCATAAAAATGGATCTCTTGTTCAAATTCTTTGCACTAATTTATCTTTTCTCCTTCATAATGTAACTGCTTTCAAGATTAGTTTAATCTTATAAAATATCTAAAATGAGCTTTCTCTCATTAACTAGTTTTCAAAGGCAAATTATTCATTCTTTCTTAATCTGACAAGATGAGGCGAAAGAATACTGTGGATACTGAGTTACATGTCCTGAGAAGGAATTAAAGTCCCTTGAAAATCAAAGATGTTTGCAAAGCCTTTAACTTACTTCCTCGTTTTGCAGCTTTTGAAATTTTTTCTGAAAAGAAAGAAAGAAAAATTCAGAAAGAAGGAGAGAGAGAATCTGTAAAACAAGGTGTGTGTTTTTGCTAATTCTTTGCTTTCTTTGCTAATCAATTAATTCTTTGCTTTCTTTGCTAATTTGCTTTCTTTCAATTGCTTTCTTTGCTCTTTAATTAAGTTAACCCAGCAGCATTTTTGAAGTCACATCATACTGAAACACAAAACAGCTATGACTATGAATGTTTTTGATAATGGGATGAAAGCCTCTTTTTTTGCACAGTTGTAGAGAATCCCTCCTGGGTGATACCATAAGGCTTCCTTATTTGTCCATTTTTGAATATTCTTTTCAGGCTTATGGAAACCACTTCCAAGATCCTCCAGAAGAGATCTGTTTTCAGAACTAGCCTATGTTCCAGAAGGAGGCCATTCTAAAAAGCTGGTGCTGCTACGGAAATGCAGCATGATTTAGCCTCCTATACCATCCAAAAGTGGTATAGGAAAGATCAGCTTTCCGCACAAATATTGAATCGGTCAGGCTGATTCTCATGGGTAAAAACAGCCCTGAAACTAACTTGCTGCCAAGCCATAAATTTTAAATTATATCTGAAAACCTAAGGAAGCCAACACAGGGCCCTTAGCAATGTGTGCAATGTGCACTGTGTCTCATGTATGAGTGCCAGATTCTACATCAGTCACATTTTGGATTGCCTACAGCTTCTGAATGGTCTTGTAGAATACCTGCAGAAAATCTCAACAAGTGTTAATGAGGGCTTGGGTCACGATGATAAGGTCCCACGTCCTTACAAAGTGCAACTGGGACACTTTCTCAAGTTGGGCAAATGCCACCCTGACCATAATATATCAAACAATAGAAAGTTATGGCTTGGGAAATAACCACATATGATCAATCATCGAGTAAAAATGTGGTTTTTCATTTCATTTCATTAAGGCTTTCAATAGTGAACAATTAATAATAAATCTTAATAGCCACTGGATTTAAAGAATAAGAGGAGGAGGAGGAGGAGGAGGAGGAGGAGGAGGAACAATTACCTTTAGTCATATTGTAATAAAAATTGGCTTCTTTTTCTGAAGAAACTGTTAACAGAACAAAAATATCTAATTAATGTGGATTCTAAATTTAAGAGTTACAGATATAGACATAGAAATAGATATAAAGATACACAAACACACACATTATATACAGCTACTCTCTTGAAAGAACTTTACATGTTTCACAGTATTTAGCCCTTAATCAAAGTCCATGAGACTTTAACAAGGATAGAAGGAAAACTTCCTTGCGTCACAAAATCATGAGATCAAAGATTCTTATTCATGATGAAGGATGAGTGACCATGTTTCTATCTTTCCCCATCTTTCTCCTAGACTTTTCAGGACCAATTCCATTCCCCATCCCCAAGAACACAGTATTTACAGAGAACCCAACTGATTTCTAGAAAAGCTAAATACCACAATAGTCCAATTTTAAACAAAAATCGAGAAGCTTGTTGTCCTCTTAAAAATAACTCTAGATTTATGGTTTGTAAGGACAATTGTGCATTGCTGTAATAAGAAGAGGAAGACAAAGATTCTAACCTATCTCAGCCACTGGAGCTCACTGGGTGATTCTGGACCCCAATTTACCTCACAGAAAGAGGTTTGTGTACATTGTCTTGAACTCTTGAATGAATGGCAGGATAGAAACTTAACACATACATACATACAGTACATACATACATACATACTACCTTTGTCATGTTTTAATTTCAAGGGTGTCTTTTCAACTGTTTTTCCTGTATAGATAAAAGAAAAATAGAGAAAAATCAAATACAATATTTAAACTGAAACCATACGATCCACTTTGATAACATTAAAATAAGGAAGGAAAGATATTAGCAAATTCAGAGAACAATTACTTTTCACCCAGTCTTTTAGAAGGCCAAAAAACCCACCCCAGTCTTACCGTGTTTTTCCTTCTTTTCTCTCAAAGATTTTTCTGCTTTTTTCTCATCTGCAAAGGATATCCAAATCATAGGGGTTAAACTTCAGGGGCCTTGGATATTTACATATTGTTTCACAAACCCTTGGAGAAAACAGGCTTGTGATTTCCGTCTCGTCAGCAGCAGGGAAGTTAAATGTGGTTGGAAACAGAACAGATCTTATATTTGCATATTTACATGCTCTTCTGTGGACTTGGATTGAATCATATCTCAAGTGATTTGATATATGCACAGATGTCTTTCTTCAGCATCCATTTTTTTCCAGGCATCCCTGAATACAGTCAATCAGCTGTGACTTCATACAAGGAGACAGACTGAAATTAACTAAGGTGCAGAGCTGGAGCAAGGCCGCCACTCTGATACTTCCTGCTGAGAACAACAGCAGGTAGTTGGCAGTTTGCCATAAAGCTACTCATTCTATCTGCCTTCCCCCCCTCAAGATACAGCTCACTTTAATACAACTTCAGTCTTTATCTGCTCAACTGTGAGCAGCCTAGCATAATCTCCCCACATGCTACATTACCCTCCCAGATACTAACAGCCCAGCCAGATAATTCCAAGTAAGTGATTAAAGTTTGCAGCTACCTTGACAAAGTGAGTGATAAAAATAGAATATTTGACACTTTGAGGCAGATCTTTTAATGTGACAAATTTAATTAGCTTTTATGGTGCTCAGTAGATATATGAGGTGAGGTTCTGGGCACATTAAGCTCCATTCAGGTACATGATTCTCGTGGCTGAATATTTTTGCTATTACATATACTATGTATGTATGTACTATAGGTTATGTATGTATACTATATGTTTAGCTGCAGTTTTGAGTTCAGCTGTTGCTTTTTCTGCTTTTTCTGTTGGGTGGCATGGGGATAGAAAGAGAAAGAAAAGAAATAAGAAGTACATCTATATAAATCTGCATACTTTGAGAGTTTGGGCCTGTTTTCGATACAGGCAGTCATTTACATATGACTGTAATAGCGTCTGCCCATTACGGTTATACATTGTAAAGTTTGTAAAAGTACTAGTTAGACTAAAACACCGGTAAAATCACCATTAGTAATTTACTTATGGTACCAATAATTCGTTTAGGTACCAAGAGATACCCACACCAAAACGTCTTTTGGTCTTTATTCTCGGTCAAAAGTTGGTTGACTAACACTTTTATGTCAGTACACTAGTGCCCTACGACGTTTACCGGTAGATACACCGAAATAACGCGAGCGATCACGTGACCTTGGAGGGGATCTGACCATTGGAACTTAGACTCTGGGTCGTAAATAGTCCCAAAGAAGGTCTGTTGTAACTTTGAATGGGCACTAATCGACCAGTCATAAATCAAAGACTACCTGTCAAGTGTATGTTGCATACACTGCACATATAATGGCACTTTTGTTAAGTTAATGTAGAAATATTTCACTTGTAAAAACAAGCTGTACATATTGTCCCAGAGGTACTTTTCCCAAAGGCAACTGGACTTTGTTTTTCCTTGAAGATGTTTCGCTTCTCATCCAAGAAGCTTCTTCAGTTCTGACCAAAGAAGTTTCTTGGATGAGAAGCAAAACGTCTTCAAGGAAAAACAAAGTCCAGTTGCCTTTGGAAAAAGTACCTCTGGGACAACGATGACCTGGATGACTGAGAATCTCCACAGACATCAAGCTGTACATGTTGAATTATCGTAATCTAGCATACAATATATCTGAGAAAATATAAATGCTGTGAAAATGGAAAGTTTTGAGATATAAAGAAGTTGACAGGAATTTTTGGCAGATTATGGATATTATGAATTGTGTTTCTGTCATTTTTATTTTCTTGTAAGATAAAAGGGCTAGTCTAGACTTATTATTTCAGATACAGACTAGTCTTCCTGAATAAATGTCTTTCAGATATGTTGGATTATGTTTCCGACAATCCCTCAGAAGATCAATGGACACTGGTTCAGGATAAAGGGGTAGCTGAAGGGTGCACATTAGGAAAGTCTGATCTGTTTTAATGCCAAAACTGAATATATTGGATTTTGCCTTGGGATTTGATATTATTGTTCTAATGTGGTCTGTTTTGCAGATTATCTCCAGTCAGTATCCATTTCATATCCTTGTAAAATGGCAGACATTTAAAATTATTTGAAATATTGATTACAGCTGCAAGTGAGGGGCATGTCAAACAGTTTAACATCTATTGAGTAGAAAGATAAGACATAAGTAAAAAGGTAAATATAAATTTAGAAGGCAGAGCCTTGACTTTTCATGCAGCTATGTTAAATGAAATTTTTTAGATTTAAATAATTAAAAAATAGCATGCACCAATAGCCCTTTTAATGCAAATAAAGTTCCTGATGTTGCAAAATGCTAGACAGCTGCCACAAGCAATTAATTAGAGGCCTGTCAAAATAGGTAGAAAGAAAGAAATAGATAATGACTTTTAAAATATAATTTCAATTACTTGTATTCATTCCTATTATTACTGATAGATATAGAAATAGATAATTTAGGGTTTCCTTCATGTTAATATCTTTACTTTCCTCATTTAAAAATAATGCAAAGATTATTCAAATTCAGTTAAGTTAATACATTGGTATTCATAGGTGTTCTTCAATTACCCATCGGATAAGAGACAACTGATAACACAACACAATAATCAGTGTAGTAAGACATTATCTCAAGAGTAGCAATCTACCAGTATATACTTGTGTAGCTGTCCTCTATATACTTAAAATAGGGGCACAAATATTTAAAGAGAGATATTTGCAGCATATTATATTAATTATATATTGATTATCATAGCAGTATAAAAGCTTATAATATTTGACAAAATGAGTAAGAATAAAGTATGAAATTTGGTGCAAATTGGCATCAAGACTAAATGTGGCTAGAATAAAGCCATGTTATCATAATGTGTTGCTAAATTTGTATTCAATTCAGAGATAATATGATCATAGGTGAACAGAGGGGATTCATTTTGTAGTCATAGAAGACCTGCAGTAGAGAAATGGAGGGATTATAGGATTTAAAGAATAAAGAAAGAGTACAGAGAAGAACAACAAAGATGATTAGGGGACTGAGGCTAAAACATATAAGGAACGGCTGCTGGAATTGGGTATGTCTAGTTTAATGAAGAGAAGGATGAGGGGGGACATGATAATAGTGTTCCAATATCTCAGGGGCTGCAACAAAGAAGAGGGAGTCAAGCTATTTTCCAAAGCACCTGAAGGCAGGACAAGAAGCAACGGATGGAAACTAATCAAGGAGAGAAGCAACCTAGAACTAAGGAGAAACTTCCTGACAGCTAGAACAATTAACCAGTGGAACAACCTGCCTCTAGAAGTGGTGAATGCTCCAACACTGGAAGTTTTTAAGAAGAGACTGGACAGCCATTTGTCCGAAATGCAATAATGTTGACTATCTGTAGCTCGGGTGTAGGATGATGGTGAAGGTTCATTCTTCAAGCTTGTGGGTTGGTTTCTGAACATTTGGTTACCAGACAAGGAAACACCTTCTGCAGAGTTTAGGGGATGTCAGTGTCAGTGTTCTTCTGTTTATAAGGGCTTCAGGTGTGGGTGTCTCAAGTGAGGGTCTATGATGGGTGATGGGTAGAACTGCAACCAATTCTACGTGGGACAAACATCATGTCAATTAAAAACCAGGATCCACGAACACCGGCTGGCAGTCAAATGCCGTTATCCCAAATCCTTAATCTCTACCCACACCAGCACCAAACAGCACCAGTTAGATTGGAGCAACACAAAAATCATTGGCCACGCTACCATCAGCCACACTCGCGAGTTCATCAAGGCCTGGCACTCCACAAGCAATTCCATCAACAGACACATTGACCTACAACCAGCCTACAAACCCCTCAGTATCCAAATCAACCGCACAGCCAACCAGAAACAGCACCGACTCTCAACCAACCCACGGAAGCCCCCCCCCAGCAGTTCACCTCCCAATGACCCTGACCTGATGTAACCTTCCCATCAAAAGACCTATCACAAAACTCTCACCTGACACACCCATACCTGATGCTCTTATAAACAGAAGAACTGACATCCCCTAAACTGACACTGACATCTCCTAAATTCTGCTGAAGATGATACCTAGCTTAATAATGAAATGTTCAGAAACCAGCCCACAAGCTTGGAGAACTTTCACCCTCAACTATTAATACCTCTGAATAGAGGTTCCCAAACTCTTCAGCTCATTAACCCTTCATAAAGTTTCAGATTGTTCATCAAACCCCAAATATTTATTATATAAAATAATTTAATACATACTACTTTAACTAGTATTATTATTATTATTATTAATAATAATAATAATAATAACAACAACAACAATACTGGATAGCCCCATTGACTCTTAGGGTTGATGTTGACCACTCAGGAGAACCCTACTCTAAAAATATGCAGGAGGTCTGCTGTCTTCTGTTGGCTATACAGGTAGTCCTCAACTCAAAACGGTTCATTTAGTGATAATTCGAAGATACAACGGCACTTTAAAAAGTGACTTTTTCAAACTTATAACCAAACATCGTGGGGGTACCAGTACACTAAATATAAACCTACGAACCGTTAACTGAGTGTAAATGTTGCCAACGTCACAGGACCTCGGTACACTGGGGGAAAAACGTTTGAAGATTGTTCGTTTCAGTTATCCTTTCGTTCTAAGTGAATTGTTGGTACAATGATTGAATTGTTAACACTTAAGTGAATTGTTTACACCGTTGAAAGGTCGTAAAATGGGGCAAAACTCACTTAACAACATAAATTTTGGGCTCAGTTGTAGCCATTAAGTTGAGGATTATCTATATTGTAATGGCACAGAAATACTAGCAATTGTATGAGAGTCACAGTAATTTTTACCAGTTATGCTCTATATTTAAACATTTGTTTTGTAGCAAACTGCAACCTGTAATCCACTACAGGGAATACGCTGCTTCTCTGTACATGGATAGTTTCCATAAATCATAAAAAGAGATGCCTCCTGAGAACAGCTACACTTTATATTCTCTGACATCATCTATGCAAAGCCTCTTTTAATTACTTTTACTTTGCAACATAAGTAATTCTTACTATATTATTTAATATTATGCTCCCTATGGCAATAAAACATGGTATGTAGTACAAAGATGTTCATTATTGGCCCTGAATGGAAGAGTTCCAAATGTGTCAATCTGCTACAGATTGAGTTATTGCATTTAAAGTCTTCTTATCCAAGGGAATTCACATTGGGTTAATTCATGGGGCACCCCTGAAAGTTGTTGATGGAACCAGGGATGTCTGCAGGGAAAGGGATCAAAAAAGCCAACATGCAATCAAAGCTCCACCCCTTTTTACATGCATCATGATGCATGTTAAAAAGAGGCAGGCTTTGTAGACACGATCTTGACTTTGACCTTCTCCTTGCAGCCATCCCTGAAAGAAACACTGGTATTTCAGTGTTCTAGCTCTTTACTATGTAAATTATTTATATTCTTTACTGTTTTAAAAAAAGATAATGGAAAGTAAAATATTAATCACAATTAATCGCCAAATGCATTATTTAAGCTATTCGGCTAACAATAGTTAGGAAATTCTATTAATTCAGTATGTTAAAGTGCACAACCATCTTTTCAGAAAAAGATGGAATAGCAGCAAAGACATTATTAGCAACCAAGTTAACAAGGCTATTTAAATTGCAAGTTTAGAAAAAGCATTCACATGCAAAGCAGGGCAGCAAGTATAAGTATAACATGACACATCTTGTAATTTCTCTGGACTTGGCGAAAAATTAAAGAATCTTACTTCAATGGAAGAAAAGGAGAAAAAGATAATGTTGGGTTGTTGTTCTTGGCTTAAATAATAGGGATGCATCATTCTGTCCTTATTCATAAGTAAGCACGATTTTTTCTTTGTTGGGGGGAGCATACAATATTGTAGAATAGCAATAATGTCAGATGTTCAAGGCCTTATTATTCTGCTCGGTTTGTCAATTCCATTTCCCATTTTGCCAAGTGGTTGTGTGAAGTAAGGATATTAGAATAAATACCTGGTTTGGCTGGATGAACTCTTTTTTCATGCCCAAGAACCTCTTGTTCTAAAAGGTGGGAGCAATATAATATAAACTCAACATTGTTTTGCTGTTGTATTATATTAATAGCTTCTGCTCTTAACTTTTACATTCTTTTCAGATGGATTTCACATGAAACAAGTCGTTTCAGAATTACTGAGAGAAGAGCTACAGTGTTAGCCCTATCTTCTGATGATCTCAAACTAGCATGCAGTAGATAGTGAATCTACATGTGTGGTCGTGCTTAGGCTTTCTCTAAGAAGATAAGCCTACACACAATACAGTTTTGGAATGTGTGTTAGCAGTCTGTTGGGAACATGCAAATGGTAAGTCACTACTCTTGGTAACTTCATAATATCTCCTTCATATGAAAGGAATAAGGTCCTAGGGTGACTAGGGCCATCAATCACTGCAGGATGGAACCTATTAAGATGGTTAGACTTAGCAGGTTTCTCAATGACCTGAAGGCACTTCTGTTAGGCACCATTCCATTTTGAAGAGCTCCATGAAATGAAACAGGTGAAAGAAAATGGGTTTCCAGTTGGGCTAGTCTAGTTCTATTAGAATCCTGGTCAATGCCCTCTCTACATGGCTGCTTCTTCAGAAATATCATGACATTTCTAAGTTAGATTTGCAAGGTCACTGAAACAGGATTAATATTGTACTTCACAGTAATTTATTCATAGATCATCAGGATAGACAATGCTGGGGGCAAAACCTTTCTATTGCTCAGTAAAATCATACATACTATAGGACATTATTATACAGTCTGGAAAATGATGTGACAGTCACATATATAACTGGAGTAAAGGTATGATTATAACCACATTTCAATGAGCAAAATACAATATCCATCTGTATGTGAATGGAACTCAATGTAAGGTGGTTTCTCCTTATGGAACCTCAAGATCTATTCTGGAGAATTCCCAAAGCCCACAGCTGGTTTAGGAGATAGGCAAAGGATAAATGTTTGCAACTGTCAGTAAAAACACAACTGGGGAATATCACCAAATTCTAACCATGATCACTATTCCTGTATTTTTTAATAGCTGTAAAGTTTAGAAACTTACTTGGTGGTTTATGTTGTGCCTCCTTGCCTAAAAAAAAAGAAAACAAAGTGGAAAAAAAATAAAATAATGAATTTTAATTTCTGTATCCCTTGAATCTTTAGAAAATAAAGATTGCAAAATGAAACATTTTTATAGCTGAAAGTCACAATAATGTAATTTTCTATGCAATGGTTTTCCAGGCAATAAAAGTCAATTTATGGTAATAGTCACTCAAATTATGCACCACCAGAGTCATAACAGTATCAGCAATCTCTCCAATATCCAAAACAATAAAAAACCCTACATCTTGTTAGGGTTTAACCTCGGTTTTTTCATCCCATCCAGATACTTATAGCTTCCAATTACAGGATGTGGCCTTCCACATCACCTCCATGGTGGCAATGTATTGTTAGATACTTTGTTGTAAACCTACCAAAGATCTTCTTCAATGATCTCATATAAATGCAGAATCAAGAAGACCAGTCTATGTGACACTTTACAGGAGAGTACCCAAAAGATCAGTCTTTTCTTTCCCACTACTTCCTGCTTAAGAAAGAATCATAGAATCATAGAGCTGGAAGGGACCTTGAAGATCTTCTAGTCTCACTCCTTGCCCAAGGCAGGAGACTTTATTCCATCCTGGTCAAATGGCTGTCCAATCTTTTCTTGAAGACCTCCTCAGCGGTTGGACTAGAAGACCTCCAAGATCGCTTTCAGCCCTATGATTCTTTGATTTTAGCAATGGAGCACCCAAAACTCCAGGAGGTAAGCTGTTCTACCAATGGAAGGAGATCCATTGAAGGAGCTAAACTATTGTAAAACCATGCCTCCTGTCCTTAGCCCCTGCAAGTGGCCCAAAAGGGGAGCATGGTCTATAGCAGTGGTTCTCAACCTTTTTAATGCCGCGACCCCAACCGGTCGTAAGTCGAGGACTAAACCGGTCGTAAGTCGAGGACTAAACTGGTCGTAAGTCGAGGACTACCCAACCGGTCGTAAGTCGAGGACTTTTCATGCCCGGGAGCGCCACGCATGCGTGGTTCCGCCCCCTATGCCAGCCGAGGCATAGCTGGCAAGCGGCAGAGATGGAGCAGGCCGACCACCAGCTGGCCCAGCCCAAGGGAGGTAAGGCACCCGCTGGAAAAGGGGAAAAAATGGCGGACAAAAGAAATGGCGGACAAAAAAATGGCGGACAGCCTTGCTTGGCGACCCCCATGAAATGGTTGATCGACCCCAAATGGGGTCCCGACCCACAGGTTGAGAACCACTGGTCTATAGTATCAAACATCACTGAGATAGCAAATAAGACCAGGAGAGATTCATTGCCCATATCCAGACCTTGACAGAAGTCATCCACCATAGGACAAGTGTCATACCATATGTTAAAGGTCAATGGAACTTTTATCAACATTATAGACTATTAATTTATAACTTTTATATTCTACCTTTCCACTGAAAATTACACAAAGATGCAGATAAAATAATGTTGGGATGTAAACATTGATAAGAAATATATAATAATACTTGGCAGATTACAAGTATTCTGCTAAATCTGTTAGGAAGCATAATGCCTGCCTAGATAGAACTAGCTTTGCCTGCTGGGTCCACCTTGGTAGAAATTACCCAATATCACAGGATTCAGAAGGAAGGAGATAGGATGATATGATTTACGTTGCAAGAAGACACATTCCAATAGCATGTTAGAACATTACATAGTGAAATCCAGTATCCAGTTGTGTTTAAATGGAGACATCTATTGGAAATGCTCTATTTTTGATCCTGGAAGACGTGAATTGGACTAAATAGATCTACTGATCTCTACGATTCTAT